TACTTACATACTTACTCACTTACTTACTTACTGTCCTACTTACTTACATACTTACGTACTTACTTACTTACTTACTTAAACACGGCTCCATCCTCCCCAACACCTACCCCTCCGCCGTTGGTACGTTTGTGCTCACGCTCCTCTCAGCCTGTTGGAGAACATCTGTCCTCATAATGTGTCCTTTATGTGTCTCTCAGAGCTCCCTCCTCAGATCCTGTCCTCTGACGGGGTGGTGTACAGAGTCACTGAGGGCGGAGACATCATGCTGCACTGTGAATCCTTCGGCTCGCCTCGACCACACGTCACATGGTGAGACACATGCACACAATGATTGAACTCCAGAGTGGTTGTCTGAGAGCTCCTACTGTAAACCACCTGCAATCAGCTAACAGCTGGCCATCTCTCCATCTCTCTAATAGTTTAGCCTGCTGTGGTGCAGCAGCCGTGATGGCTGAGGAAGTTGGCAGAAGGCTAAGCTAAACTATTAGCAACATTTTCTCTTTTATAACTACATAGAAATATAGATATACTAAATAAACAATCTTCTCTCCGTTGGTCTCTTTTACTTATTACGGTCATGAAGAGGCATGAGGATTAAACTGAGACTGTTTCACAACCAGTTAAAAGTTTAAGCACTTCAACTACATTGCCCTGATAATACTCACATACCTTTACTTCAGTAAGGGTTTGACTGCAGTACTTTTACTTAAAGTATTCTTATGGTATTCTTACTAACGGTAATTGTCGCATCTATAAAGACAAAAACGTAAAAGCAGACTAACAGCATTCTAACCCTTTAAGTTGAAAGATAGAATCTCTCAAGGATGAGATGACATTTAAATGTTTTTAAAAAGCTCTAAACCTTTGAATCGGTCTCTTTCTGAAGTGATCAGACTAAAGTTATCAGCCTCAGGTATTTACTTTCACCGGAGCAGCGCCCTCATGTGGCTGCATTGACACACTGCTGCAGGAAGGACTTCTGCTTCCATGCTGTGTGTTTTTATGAAGAGATTCTAAACTTACAACTTTCGGCTTGTTTGCAGCTTCATTTCGAAGCCAAACTCATATATGAAAGGACGAGTATGTCCTCTGTAATACTTCTGGATTTTAGAGATTATTGTTATCATATTTTTAGATGACACACATTTTACACATGTTGTTTTTCAAGGAAGATTCTGATGTTTCTTAGACTGAATCTTATAAATTATGACTGAAACTACAGGAAATATATTTTGTTTAACAGAGTTATAAACCCGACATTTTAGAGTCTTAAAGGCTTTGAAACAACATTTAGACGATAACATAACAAGATAAAACATGATTTAAGTGTTAAATTAATAAATTGTGTGAAAGATTTCTTTAAGATAAAAATATTTGCATTTTACATCATGCACAGAGTGCTTCTTCCAGGTGAGGGGTTGTTTTACGGGCCTTAGACATTTATATCATTGCTTCTCTCTCTCCTCTCTCCGGCCCATCATTTATTGATCTATCATCTGATCCACTGATGAGCCAGGGAACACACTCCCATTGATCCAGTCACTGGGTTTTACTGCTGTTGCCGTGGTCTTCATGTCTGGGCGTCTAATGTCGGAGTTAAAAAGACTCCCCGATTAACGCACGTGACGATCAATCTGTGTTCTCCCTGCAGGGAGGGGGAGGACCGGCCTCCTCTGCTGTCGGACCCTCGCGTCGCCCTGCTGACCAACGGGTCGATCACGCTGTCCAGCGCTGGCCAAGAAGACGGCGGAGAGTACACCTGCTCCATCCAACACAGCAACATCTCCGTCACCGCTCACCTGGTGGTCTACAGTGAGTCTGATGTTATGTACTGCATATATACATACGTATATACTATATATATAGATATATATATATATAGTATATACATACGTATATACTATATATATAGATATATATAGATATATATATACAGTATATATATAGACAAAGGTCTAAACGGCCAAATGAAGTAAAAACACATCAAAACACATTTTAATTTGTGGCATCGTAGAACAAATCTGATGAATTCAATGCATATGATAGAGAATTCACTGCTCACGGAGGATGATGGAGAAAGAAAACACAACAAAGCTTTCAGACAGTAAGAGAAAAGTACAATTTAAAGTTTTCATTTAATGACGTCAACATTTCTTAAAAGAAATGAGGGAAACAAATATTGAACTGAATAAAATAATACATGTGACTGTAGACATACTGGTGGTTTTAGTGAGTTCAATCATTGATCAACTTTACTTTAAGAGGAGTGTTTATACAAACGCTACAAGAGGACCAGTCCCACAGATGTGGTGCCAGATGTGCAGACGACAACAGGAGCTCACTATAATCATGCCGGTGACCTGTGCTGAGTGTGTGTTTCTTCCCGTCAGACCGGACCGTGATGCTGACGGGTCCGCAGGACGTGCGCGTGCTCAGAGGAACCAGCGCTCTGCTGGACTGTCGCTTCTACAAAGACCCTCAGCTGCTCAAGTACCAGATCGTCTGGAGGAGAGACGGACACAAGCTGCAGGAGTCGTCACCAGATGACAAGTAGGTCGCACACAGAGACGCTTCGGTCCACAGCGAACACTAAAGCATTGATATCAGGTCATGTTACCGCAGTGATGAACAAAAAACATCCTTTTTACATTCTAACAAGGTGTTGTTCATGTTATTATTGCATATTGTTCTCGTCAGTACAATCACATATTAATAAGAGAATCACAGTACCTTCTTGTTTTTAATAGTTCAGGTGTTTAGTAGTGTGGTTGTATGAGGTTCTTCTACATACTCAGTGTTTTACTACAGTAGATGGAGCAAAGCAATGTTCTGCTGTGGACGTATTTTAGACTCCTAAAAGCCGTTATATGCGCTCAGCTGTCTCAGTTATAAACCTGGTTTACTTCATTCTTAAAGTTCATAAACCATATATATATATATGATACCATTACACCAGTCCTGACACTAAAATGTATACGATTGTTTTTGTGTGTGTGTGTGTGTGTGTGTGTGTGTGTGTGTATAGGTACACGTTCTTTGAGAATGGCACCTTGAAAGTGTCGGACATCCAATCAGACGACAGCGCGTCTTATTCCTGTGAGGTCTTCACTGACCTGGACCACGTAAAGGCCAGTGGCTCCATCACTGTCGTAGGTATGTCACTCTCACTGTGTGTGTGTGTGTGTGTGTGTGTGTGTGTGTGTGTGTGTGTGTGTAACAGTTTTGTGTCGGACCCTCAGCTCGACCAGACCGTCCCAAAGATCTGTCTCTGTCTGATGTTGACGACCGCAGCATCACTCTGAGCTGGATCCCAGGACACACACACAACAGCCCCACCACAGGTACTGAACACACACACACACAACAGCCCCACCACAGGTACTGAACACACACACACACACACACACACACTCACACACACAACAGCCCCACCACAGGTACTGAACACACACACACACACACACACACACACAACAGGTCCTGAACACACACACACACACAACAGCCCCACCACAGGTACTGAACACACACACACACAAACACACACACACACACAACAGGTACTGAACACACACACACACACACACACACACACACAACAGGTACTGAACACACACACACACAAACACACACACACAACAGCCCTGTTGTCTGAATGAATAAATCATTTCAGGGTTTGTTTCATTACAGTGAAGAGAATCCAAAGCTAAGCAGAAGTATTTTCCATAAGTACCTTTTAAGTAAAGAAGGGTTTCCATTAATGATTAATTTATTTATTCACTTATTTATTTATAGATAAATAAATGTATTTATTATTTATTATATTTATTTGTTAGTTTGATTGTTTATTTATTTATTTATTTGATAGTATGTTTGTTTATTTATTTGTTAGTTTGATTGTTTATTTATTTATTTATTTGATAGTATGTTTGTTTATTTATTTGTTAGTTTGATTGTTTATTTATTTGATAGTATGTTTGTTTATTTATTTGTTAGTTTGATTGTTTATTTATTTATTTATTTGATAGTTTGTTTGTTTATTTATTTATTTATTTGATAGGGACAGAGCACATTTAATGAACATCAGTACAAAATACAAAGTGTACAAGAGCAAAATATGCTAATTTTCATCCGTAGTCCCTCGGCAGGAAACAACATCACAGGTGACAATATACAGATACACGAATGTGCAACACACAAGTAAACAGATGGTAGCTTATAGACATTTGAAGTATTCAGAAATGAAGCAACTGTAAAATGACATCTTCATCCTCACATTTCCAGAACACTTCACATATAAATCCAGTGAGAAATGGCAGCAAAGAAGTCCTTCCATTCTGGATATTAGTAATAATTAGCATGTATAAACTCCAAAACGATACATTAGTAAAAGTACACAAGTGTGCCGACCCGTAACAGGAAGTAGTGTTGACATCATCGCGTCCGCGTCCTCAGAGTTCATCGTGGAGGTGAGGGAGGAGCAGCACAGCGAGGAGGACCGGTGGAGCTGGGGGAAGCTGAAGAGCGTTCCCGGGGCCTTCAACCACGTGGAGCTGAGCCTCGACCCGTACTGCACCTACCGCTTCAGGGTCATCGCCGCCAACGACATCGGCCTCAGCGACCCCAGCAAGCCCTCGGACCACCACAGCACGCCGCCGGCCGGTAAGCGACGCGGGGGACGTCGTCTCTGTGACGTCGTCTCTGTGACGTCTGTGAAGTTTTATTAGTTTTTCATTTGAAGCCGTTTGGTCAGAAGTTTTTATTCCCACATGAATCCCGTGTGTTTCTCTTGAGATCATTGAAGGAATAGTTCAACATGTTGGCGTTACGCTGATGACCCACATGTCCTCCCTAAGGCCTTAAACCCTCAACCCCAGAGACTAATAGGCCTAATAATAATAATAATAATAATCATTTTATTTATGAAGTGCTTTTCAAATAACACTTTACAAAGGGGATAAAATACCTTCTCTGACGTTACCTGGTGAAAGGATGAGGGTGAGAAGCTGTCAGGGTCTTGAAATGGTGAAACGTCGTAATATATTATGGACTATTGTGGGTTTTGATGTCGTATTTTTTACACGCTGATCTGAACGTCTTACGAGATGAGAGGCCAAATAATCTGTTTACTCGTTTTTGTCTAAACAGCTTCTATAAGAAAAGTAGAATAAATGTTTGATAAGTAATTCATGTGTTTTATGCTCCATCTTTAATCCCTAATGTTTCTGAGTACATTGAATGTGCCAGGCTGAGCACACCTGTGGTGTTCTCTCTTGATAACCTCAGTTCCTGCGATGAACCCCAGCGGTGTGCGCAGCGAGTCCACCGACCCAAAGACTCTGACCATCACATGGGAGGTGAGAACCTCAATCTGAATGCATCGTTGTGTAAAGCGTGCTCTTGAAGTTTCATCTGAATCCGTCTCATATTCCCCGTGTGTCTTTGCAGGAGATGGACAAGCGCTCCCATAATGGCCAGGGCTTCCAGTACAAGGTGTTTTGGCGGAAGGCCGGAGGGACGGATGTCCGCTGGAACCACGCCGACGCACAGGCTCCGCCCTTCTTGCTGAACAACACGGGGACCTACGAGCCCTTCGAAGTCAAAGTCCAGGCGGTGAACTCACTCGGAGAGGGACCGGCACCGGAGCCAGAGATCGGACACTCGGGAGAGGAAGGTACGCCTGAACGCAGTGTGTGTGTGTGTGTGTGTGTGTGGTCAGACTAAATGTCTCATTGGAAGGAGCTTGTGTCTGTTGTAAACGATGAATAGAGGATCTTTATACGAGGCTCCAAATACAGATCTGTGTAATTACATCCCTCATGAAAGAGGTCAAAACCCTCTTTTTATACACAAAGAGTCTGAAATTATCTCCCAATGAAAGGTCTTCACATCACATCCAGGCTTGTTCTGCAGAAATGTCAAATCCAGTGAAAGAAGAGACAAAGAGTCGGGCGACTTGTCAACGTGACGCCATCTTGTTTGTGGTAGAAAACAACAGACAGGCGTTCTGCTGTGCAGCTGGTTCGCTGCTCTCAGTGGATTTCTGAGCCAGAAATGTCTTCAGGTCAACAGTCAAGAGCCTCAGTGATGGTGGAACACAACCTCAGTCTCAGTTCGGTGCATTCATCACCAAGAGGTCCAGATGTTCACCGTCACTCCGGTTATGCAATCGAGTGAAGTGCTGCTGCTCGGAGGCTGCATGAAGAAAATAGATAGTAAACATAAAAAGACTTAAAAACAAACCAATATAACTATAAATATAACAGCAGAAATATAAGAAGCATCGAAGATAAAACAAACAATCCATTGTCGCTTGTTGTTGTTGTAAATGCAGACGAGGGACTAGATCTTTAACTAGAAATACCAAACGACTTAAACCTAAAAACTACTCAACATGAAAAACCTCAAAAGATCCGAATAAGGAACCAAAGACTAGAACGCAACGGGACTCGCTTCAGGTGTAGCCTGAGAGGGAGCAACCTGGCCTGTCTGGTTGGGGGTACAGGTGTCTTTAATATGAGGATCTTGTTTACCGTGTTGTTGTTGTTGTTGTTGTTGTTGTTGTTGTACTGCGATTGAGAATCAGCAGGAAGTCCGTCCAGCATTCAGCTCTCTTTAATCAGCCGTAGTTGTTGTTGGGAGTGCACCATCTGCTGGTGCCCTTTGAGTTAACGCCTCAGACATTTAATTCATTCACCAAACATTATCTCCGCCAGGAGGATCATGAGATTGGGTCACGCGTGTGTGAGAGCGTGCACCCCTGTGTCTGTCCACGGCCGATCTCTGGTTCTGCTGCAGGGTATTTTTTGGTGGTAGCAGTGATCACATTCAAACATTACAGCGGTGGTCAGACTCACCTGGAGGAGATCTGGACTCTTCTGAGTGAACATCTCTGGTTTAAATGTCCTTCAGGTCCAATGATTCATTCACTGAAGATTCAGCATGATTTCACTTAAAAAGGATCTCACAGAAAACAACAAATGATCCTTCATTTAGAGAAAGATTTTTGTTGAATACTTGCTT